TATATATATATATATATATATATATATATATATATTTTACAATGGCATCCTGAAGGTGAACGCTGCTGGTTGCCTATCTTAAGAAAACAAGAAGCGACCACACACACAAGTATTGAATCACCCCCCCCCCTTCCGCTTACATAAAAATTAAGTTTATTCACAGAGGCGTCCCCATATTAAAGGCTGTTTATACACTGCTGAAGCTGGATGTTTTCAACTAGCCTCACACAGCCATACACCCGCTCAGTTAGCTAACACAAGTAATCTCACACAAAGTTTCCAAGAACGGGTAGTAAAAATTATAGTTGTCCATAAGATCCCATCTTCCAAAATTCAGTAAAAACTACATCTATTAATTAAATCATTGTTTCTACACGAATGTTGAATTGGAAAAACCAATCCCGTCCATCTTAATATTCAGTTGTAATGAAAAACGTAGGAGTGAGAGGCACAGGAGAAGTTGTGTTGGTCTTCAGCGGAGCAAGACATGGAGGAGGAGGAATGGAATAGGACAAGTCTGCTTTGTGGTGGAACAATTACAGGAGGGTGTGTGTGTGTGTGTGTGTGTGTGTGTGTGTGTGTTGTCCGTCATTATGACCCCAAGTCCTCCCCGTCTTGCAGTCTTCTCCTCACAACAAACTACTTCGCAAATTCACAAAAATACACAATATAATCTACGTCTTATTAAAAAATTCCTGACAGTATTCATAATTTCACAAGACGCTATTTCACCACATTTACACATTCCCAAAATATCAACTGTCAATCCTGGTACAAATATAAGGCACAATTACGTAAGTCGAAAGCATTTATATTCATCATCAAGTTCCCCACACCACACAGCCTCCACCACACCACACAGCCTCCACCACACCACACAGCCTCCACCACACCACACAGCCTCCCCCACACCACACAGCCTCCACCACACCGCACAGCCTCCACCACACCGCACAGCCTCCACCACACCACAGCCAGCCCACCCACCACACACCACACAGCCTCCACCACACCGCACAGCCTCCACCACACCGCACAGCCTCCACCACACCACACAGCCTCCACCACACCGCACACCTCCACCACACCGCACAGCCTCCACCACACCACACAGCCCACCACACCACACAGCCTCCACCACACCACACAGCTCCACCACACACTGCACAGCCTCCACCACACCGCACAGCCTCCACCACACCACACAGCTCCACCACACCACACAGCCTCCACCACACCACACAGCCTCCACCACACCACACAGCTCCACCACACCACACAGCCTCCACCACACCACACAGCCTCCCACCACACCACACAGCCCACCACACCACACAGCCTCCCCCACACCACACAGCTTCCACCACACCACACAGCCTCCACCACACCACACAGCCTCCACCACACCACACAGCCTCCACCACACCACACAGCCTCCACCACTCCCATGTTCCGCCAACACATAAACTAAACCATCTCAAACATGCACTCTGCTCAGCCCTTTGAAGATGGTTTACGATGACCCCCAAAAAGCTGGCCCTGCACGGTACTTTATTAGTCCCAGCGTGAAATCAGTGCGATAAGAAGCACAGGACCCAGACACCAGCCTTGTACGTCTTCACCTGCACTTTCTTGACCTGGTTGATGAAGGTTTGTCGTGAGTGAAGGAATTTTTTTTTTGGTGCAGGTTTTTATGTTAGCAACTGCAATTTTTCGTCGTTGCAGGATATTGTACATAGTATGAGGAGGTAAAACATCTTTACTAACATGAATCTAGTCAGTATGAAAAGGCAAAACATACCTCACCATCACCATGAATCCTGTCACATTTCCACTCTCAGTTCTCACTCAGCCACCGGCAATATGGCTTCATGCACCACTCACACACACACCTGAACCTCACCATATAAGGCTCCCTGTGTGGGCAGCAGCTGCACTTTTCGGCGTGCCTTATCTTTATTGACACGGAGGGTAAGCCAGGCTACTACAGTGGTGTGAACAATGGTACAGGATACAAGTAATACCCTCACCTTTAAACACAATCATAACTTAGTGACGCAATTATACAACCTAACCTAACCTAACGCAATCCAACCCAACCTAAGAGTATGTGACACCTCAGTATCACACATCTGTATCCTTGAAGTAGATACGCCTCAGTATCACACATCTGTATCCTTAGAGTAGATACGCCTCAGTATCACACATCTGTATCCTTAGAGTAGATACGCCTCAGTATCACACATCTGTATCCTTGAAGTAGATACGCCTCAGTATCACACATCTGTATCCTTAGAGTAGATACGCCTCAGTATCACACATCTGTATCCTTGAAGTAGATACGCCTCAGTATCACACATCTGTATCCTTAGAGTAGATACGCCTCAGTATCACACATCTGTATCCTTAGAGTAGATACGCCCAGTATCACACATCTGTATCCTGAAGTAGATACGCCTCAGTATCACACATCTGTATTTATAGATACGCCTCAGTATCACACAATCTGTATCCTTAGAGTAGATACGCCTCAGTATCACACATCTGTATCCTTAGAGTAGATACGCCTCAGTATCACACATCTGTATCCTTAGAGTAGATACGCCTCAGTATCACACATCTGTATCCTTAGAGTAGATACACCTCAGTATCACACATCTGTATCTTGAAGTAGATATCAGTATCACACATCTGTATCCTTGAAGAGATACGCCTCAGTATCACACATCTGTATCCTGAAGTAGATACGCCTCAGTATCACACATCTGTATCCTTGGGAAGCAGTATCACACTGTATCCTGAGTAGATACGCTCAGTATCACACACTGTATCCTTGAAGTAGATACGCCTCAGTATCACACATTGTATCCTTGAAGTAGATACGCCTCAGTATCACACATCTGTATCCTTGAAGTAGATACGCCTCAGTATCACACATCTGTATCCTTAGTAGATACGCCTCAGTATCACACATCTGTCCTGAAGTAGATACGCCCAGTATCACACATCTGTATCCTTAGAGTAGATACACCTCAGTATCACACATCTGTATCCTTGAAGTAGATACGCCCCCGATCACACATCTGTATCCTTGAAGTAGATACGCCTCAGTATCACACATCTGTATCCTTGAAGTAGATACGCCTCAGTATCACACATCTGTATCCTTGAAGTAGATACACCTCAGTATCACACATCTGTATCCTTGAAGTAGATACGCCTCAGTATCACACATCTGTATCCTTGAAGTAGATACGCCTCAGTATCACACATCTGTATACTTAGAGTAGATACGCCTCAGTATCACACATCTGTATACTTAGAGTAGATACGCCTCAGTATCACACATCTGTATCCTTAGAGTAGATACGCCTCAGTATCACACATCTGTATCCTTAGAGTAGATACGCCTGAGTATCACACATCTGTATCCTTGAAGTAGATACGCCTCAGTATCACACATCTGTATCCTTAGAGTAGATACGCCTCAGTATCACACATCTGTATACTTAGAGTAGATACGCCTCAGTATCACACATCTGTATACTTAGAGTAGATACGCCTCAGTATCACACATCTGTATACTTAGAGTAGATACGCCTCAGTATCACACATCTGTATCCTTAGAGTAGATACGCCTGAGTATCACACATCTGTATTCTTGAAGTAGATACGCCTCAGTATCACACATCTGTATACTTAGAGTAGATACACCTCAGTATCACACATCTGTATCCTTAGAGTAGATACGCCTCAGTATCACACATCTGTATCCTTAGAGTAGATACGCCTCAGTATCACACATCTGTATCCTTGAAGTAGATACGCCTCAGTATCACACATCTGTATCCTTAGAGTAGATACGCCTCAGTATCACACATCTGTATACTTAGAGTAGATACACTCCAAAGTAATGAGATTGGTGGACGACCTTTTGAATGTGATCTTAATAACACAAACACAACGAAGAGTATGTTGTGAAAGCAATGGTGATTACACAGATATTTTGGACGTGTAACTTCCACATGGGATTGTAAACACAAATTTTGGCTCCCGAATAACACAAGGGTGACCACAAATTGGTCACTGGCTTCGTTACCCACAACTTGAAACAAGGAACGGATACTGGTATAGACTCCACCTGTATATTGTACTCCACTCAGTCTGAGATAGTACTTGATGAGACGATCGGACAAGGCCTTGGCAGATTTAAAAAGAGATCTTTATGTAAACCGCGCTAAATATTCTCTGGCCTCACTTCGCGGGATAAAAACATCCCTCGTGCTCGAGAAAGCATCTATCAGTCAGGCCAGGAAAGGTTTGCACAGGGCTGCCTAAACACAGTAAATAAGTGTGACTTGAGACCACGGTGGAAATTCATTTCACGTGAATCTTATCACTAACTTTAACCTTTCAGGGCAACAGTGTAATTATTCCTTATGGCTTCGTTGACCTTTACGAATCTCCTGCACTATATTTACCTTACTTTAACACACACATATTATCCTTCCCTAGCTGAAGGTAGGAAGCAAGATTACAGGACCTTAAGGTCAGAGGTCGAGAGTCTGGATCACTGGCAGACACGTCAGAAACACAGGCACACAAAATTAATGATTGTTACTTCAACTTCTTTCGCTTAACAATGCTGAATTCAGTGTTTTCAATATATGCCGTGCATTATAAGACACTCTTTCTATCAGAGGTAGAATTTCTAATATTTGTAATTTGTCTTACTTGAAAAAGTGGTTTAAAACAGGAATAAACGTTAAGTCTCTTTTAAATGCAACATTATTATCTCGCTGCGTTAAGGAAAGGGTTGGATAAAAGAGACCAATACTTCCCAGGTCACGGTGCCGAAACAGTTCACTGAGCGATCACATTACCATTTGGTAACATAACACCTATTTATATCGTTTCCCTGCACTGGGGTGCCCCTGCAGGCCACAACACCCCCCCCCCCCCAGGTGATTTAGCTCTAATTTTTAGTGTATTTAAACTAACTAAATACGCACAGTTATGAGGAAATTTAATGTTCGTATAATAATAATGAGTGAGTATTGGTAACAGTAGCGAGTCCTTACCTTGACAATGTCTGTAGACTCTAGGAGCTCCCTTAGTCCTCCCTCGTACATAAGACTTCGCTCCACCATGACGTCGAAGATGTATATATGTCCCGATACTAGTCCTATCTGGAGGAGAGTCATGGGCCCGGAGGGTCCAAGATTGACGCCTTCACCGTCAAAACTGACAGGTTGTCTGGCGCCTAAAATGGCACTCACCAACTGGCGAGCCTCCCTTACCGACACAACTACCCGCGTGTGTCGCAGCAGTCGTCCCGTCACACCTTCCCCACCCACCTCTCCACCACCCGTGTAGCTTACACGGTCACGCTCACTATTGTCAGCCAGGGTCTTTCGCAGCAAGGAGTTGACCCGAGCCTTCAGCGTCTGCTGCTGCTGCTGCTGTTGTTGGTTATGGTGGTGGTGGTGGTGGTGAGGACGAGCGGGTGACCCGGGGGAAGTGGGAGACATGGGCAAGTTTTCTTCACGATCTGGCGACGAAGTTCCTCTCTGGACTGGTTGTTGTGGTTGTGGTGGTTGTTGTTGTTGAGGTTGCTGTTGTTGTTGAGGGATATGTTGTTGTAACTGTTGTTGCTGCTGCTGTGGTGGTGGAGGTGACGATTGTTGTTGCTGCTGCAACTGAGGTTGATAGAAGTGAGAATGCCCGGTGTTGGGTCCAGAGGAGGCAGGGCGGACGAGGCGCACCATATTGGCCTGGACCATGAAGGAGTTGGAGTGCATTTTGAGGAAGGTGGCCAGGTCGCTGCTAGAGCGGCAGATCTGTGACAGCGTCTCCTTCGGGAAGGCATTGGTGAGACCGTTGAAGAGCGTCTCTATGATGAGCGGACCTCTAATCAATGCCGCAGAACAATACTGTAACACCTGAAAAAAAAAAACATTACAATAACATAGTGACCATAAACATCAGTTAACTTAAACTACAGTAACCAAATATCTAAGAAAAAATAACATACACCAACTAAGGATACAATTATCAGATTCTTCCACATTACTATAGCTCCTGGAATGATACTCATACATATACTGTATATAAAAGAAGTACATGAGATTTAGATTGTGGCCTTCCTGAAAAAAATTCTAATAACTGGTTTTTTTTTCGGTAATCATCGATGCTCAACAGCTTCGTAGTTTCTCAAAATACATCACGAACTAAGCTTTGCCTACCCGACTCTGCCAGGGTGGAGGGACAGGAGATCCACCCTCATTTTCCTAAAAAAATTAGCTCTCAATCACCAAAACTTTGGAAATGCATCCGACCCGCGGGTGTAGGGGCCGACCCTGGAAGGACAGGAGACAGTGCACGACCATTCCCTAGGGCTTGGGCCATCCGCACCTCCCTACCAAATTTTAGCTCTATCTTCAAAACTGTGAAAAGGCATAACGAATGTACACCCACACCCATCCACAGAACGGATTTTTTATACCGGTATATACAGATGAGAGAAGACCTGAATAAAACACAAGGCACTATACCAGTACTGAACTATACACTATTGTAATAATAATAACAAAGGCACAGAAATTATAAATGATAAATATTAAAAACTAAAAATATTAACAGCTTGCACTTCCTTTGTGACGGCCTACAATTAGCGAAGGGAAACACATGATCCTCAGTGTCTGCTTCATAGGACAGTCGGTCACACTGGTCAGAGACAAATACTGTACTATCATTACTCCTGGAACTTACCTTGCCTTGGCAATATATTTTGAGCTCATTACCGGAAAAAAAATCAGAGCTTATATGTGATAAAAAAAAACTATCTGCACTATTTTTATTCAACTAAAAATAGGGTGAACTGGAGTCCTTTGCATAGCGAAAGACCCTACAGCATATGGCTTCATGTGATACACTCACAGTCATCAAAATGCACTTGGTCAATGGTTGAACGTCTATGTATTCTAGTAATGAACAAGACAAAAACACGTCTACTGCCTCCTCAGTCCTGAACTAAACAAAGACGACATCCAAAATAAGTTTTTCGTGGTCAATATCCAACTTTTAAACTGACCTTTTTCCAATCGATACCAAAGAAGAAATATTGTTCTACTAATAAGTTCTATTAAATAACGGATTTAACTTTTAGTATTTTTCAAACATAATTTTTGACGAGCTTAGCAAGTTTAAGATAAGCAAAACATACAAACCTAACGTAACCTAACGATTTTCGAATAAATTTTGGTTAACTTAGATAAGGTTAAATAAGTTAGATCGAGTTTAATTGGTTTGTTACGTCTGTTTTAGGAGTAAAGTACCGCAGCCATCGTAAAGAAAATGAACTACAATTATCACCACAGTTTTCTTATCTACTTTTGTAAAACAAGGAAACTAAAAACGATGTTTACGTTAGCTATCATAGGTAAACCCGGGCTAATGTAGAAAGAACAACTTTCATAATTTTCAACAACCCGGCCTAGACACAGCTTAGTAATCCAAGCGGGCGTCGGTGTTAGGCGATGGCCAACTTACTAATAGAGCAACACTGGGTGCGGATTTACAATAAATAAATAAATAAATAAATAAATAAATATATATATATATATATATATATATATATATATATATATATATATATATATATATATATATATATATATATATATATATATATATATATATATATATATATATATATATATATAGTCACTTAACCTGTCTCAAGAAAATAATTGTTGTTAAAATACAACTTGGGTGTAATTTTGTCGCCATCTTGAACATTAGCTATATTTATAATGTAACTTCCCCTACCAGGCTCACTGCCCAACACCCCAGACACACAAACATCCCGAAGCAGGCGCCACCCTGCTCACGGAGGGAGGGGCTGAGCTCCCTCTGTCTCTCCCATACCGTCACCAACTTTTTGCTTTGCGGTACTGACTTATGGCGGGCTATTTTTCTCCCCTAACCTCACAAATACATGGATCCCGAAACCGGTCGCTAATCCTGTTGGTGATGGCGACGAAGGCATCCCCCCACCGCCACAACCCAGAAAAAGTGACGTAGGAATCAGATTTATCTCCGTCTGCAAAGCTCGCCTCTACCACAGATATGGACGAACACCTTAACACAGTGCGAAAGTAGACGTCAGGCCCGCGGGCGACTGAATAACTGTGTACAGTACCTGACAGTGCAATACTAGAAACAAACTCCGCTGTAGCACCATGGCTGTGAAAGATATTTGTCAGTAGCTACCTTACAATTTCCTTTATGTCTTCACGGGGAGGAAGCGTATATATATAATATAATATAATATAATATAATATAATATAATATAATATATAATATATATATATATATATATAATATATATATATATATATATATATATATATATATATATATATATATATATATATATATATATATATATATATCCGGTATACATGAAATCACAGTAACTACAGTAACTACCTTACCTAGACATGTTCTGTTAAGGGGCAAAAGTAAAGTGAAGAATCTTTTCCTCACGGTTACAAGTGAACGCTCTAATTAAGATAGTTTCCAGTGCAATCCTGGAGATATTTTTGGTCGTGTCTGTGCTATAACGGAAGTCAACCAAAAAGGTGTATTCTCACATCTTAAGCTGCGAGGACCATTAGTCGTGTCAACCTCTATGAATCCAACTACTGTACTGTAGTGTACTGTACTTCCCTGACGCCGTATTGTATATATGTTGACCACACCACCTTTTCCTTTAAGTCGACATCAATTTGTTAGTAACGTTAGCCAGCTCCTGGTTGACAGAAAAATCACTTTCGCTATGCCTTTATCCTTATTAGCTCCAATCTCCCACCCTCTGCTCTCCCGCGCTCCCTGCCAGCTCTTGCCATTCCATGGGGCTTTTCTCTGCACTCCTGACTCAAGCAAGCCACGCCTTCCTCACTAACCACGAACACAGCTGAACAACAATTCTTGGTCACCCTGATAGCTTTCTCTCCTACACATTTTCATTGTACTGTACCGTACACAAACACAATTTTATATATATATATATATATATATATATATATATATATATATATATATATATATATATATATATATATATATGCTGATAACCACAAGGAAAGAAGAAAACACGAAGTTCCCAAGCGCTTTCGTGTAATTCACATCTTCAGGGGTGAGAATTACACGAAAGCGCTTGGGAACTTCGTGTTTTCTTCTTTTCTTGTGGTTATCAGCATATACCTAGATCACGCGCACATACAGTGATTTACTTGCATATATATATATATATACGGCACTGAAAAAATTGCAGATTCGCAGTTACTACAAAAAGCTACATACTTACAACATTAAAACTTAATTTCACAGTATACAAAATTTCTTGGCCAAGCCATAAAAAAAATTAAGTTCATGGGTCACACCAGGGGGTTCATAGTTGTTCGGACAAGTGTTTCTGGAACTTATGTATGAACATACGTAAAGTCGTTTATAGTGTGGCTAAGGAGCTTAAAATTAATATTATAAAATCTATAATATGCACAAAAGCTCAGGTATGATGGGAAGAAATATATCTCCCGAACACTTGAATTATGGTACACCCACCAAAAATTATTCGGCACCCGTGTCATATTGTATCACGCCTTAAGGGTGCCGAATAAATTTTTATTGGGTGTACAGTAATGTTTGGTGTACAACATTACTGTACATAATACTTCAACATTAATGTACACCCAATGCAAAATTATTCGGCACCCTTACGGCGTGATACAATATGACACGGGTGCCGAATAATTTTTAGTGGGTCTACATGTTAAGGGTTCAAAGTTGTCATTACACTTTGTCATGCCCATAGATACACTAAAAAAAAGCCTGGACACCCCCCCCCCCTTCCCCAACACACGCGCGCTCCCAAAAAGAGTATTGCGATATCTTGAAACCCCTGGTACGACCAATTTAATGTATTCCCGTAAGGGCAATTATGATCAACACATACAGTACATAACCACCACCACCACCATCAAGATCACCCACAATAAAAAGCTGACCAATTAACCTGTCGGACACACAAGGAGCCGCGGCTGTTTCTACCAGACTTCTCATCAACCATTATACGTTATTAGGCAGGTATTTCATGTTGGTTGTAGCAGGTCGGTGGGAGGGTAGCGCGCTAAGGAACCATTAAGCTGTCAACAAGCCTACAATTTTACCTTGCATGCAAACCAACTCTTTGGGCCTTGCTGGGCTCGTCTTTATACTACGCTCCCCCCTCCACAGTATCTCTCTCCTTCACCAAGAAAAAATAGTTTCATCATAAATTATATGAAATTTCATGTTCTCGAGAAAATAATATTCGCCAAGGACAAAACCTGTAACATACTTTGCATCAAAAAGGACACAATTTGCATGTCTTTGTATCGACAAGGACAGTGTGCAACAGTATTATTTTTCTCGAATTATTCACAACTATTAAGCTATGATATTACATGAAGTTGTATTAAGACTTGTTAATCAATACATGTTGGTGCGTCTGGCAAGTATACAGTACAGTATATACAATCACCAACACATGTTTTCGTGTAGCCTACACTTTATGATAACAGCAATAAACTCCCTCTCACGCCATGAAGTTGCAGAAGAGAAGAATCTTCAGGGTCATATCAGGGCCCAAAGTTTGCAAGATACTGTTATGAAATGACTACACGTGTGTGTGGTGGGGGGGAGTAGTGTGCATTGGCCTAACTATCAGTCCTCTCATGTGTGAATCCCTGAACTCGCTCCTAAAAATGAGAATTATCCGTTCATGGTTCAAAGTTGTCATGACACTCAGGCGCGCGCACACACACACACACACTCACACACTCTCTCTCTCTCTCTCTCTCTCTCTCTCTAAACGCACTATCATGCCAACTCTGAA